ACCTATTCAGGCACAGAACTAGATAGGCACAGTTCTGGATACAATAGAGACTATCCAGAACCATGCCTGATCCTAACCCTAACCCATGTAGGCACAGAACTAGATAGGCACGGTTCTGGATACGATACAGAGACTATCCAGAATCATGCCTGGTCCTAACCCTAACCCATTCAGGCACAGAACTAGATAGGCCCAATTCTGGGTACGATAGAGACTATCCAGAACCGTGCCTGATCCTAACCCTAACCCATTCAGGCACAGAACTAGATAGGCACAGTTCTGGGTACAATAGAGACTATCCAAAACCCTGCCTGATCCTACCCCTAGCCCATTAATACATAGAACTAAATAGAAACGGTTCTGGGCACGATAGCTGTATGATACATAATGAATGTTTCGGCTATTATTTCTCCCACAGGCGCGGCCGGAGGCTGGGACAGTCGGGACAACATCTACTTCGGCCACGGGACGAACCCATCTGCGCGGGGGAGGGGGGCACTCATGGAGGGGACATTTCAGCTCCGCAAAGGTCAAACTCACTTGTCTCTTGCCTAAAATTATTTTTTCTAAAATACAGCATCTTGTAACAATATAACCTGACAATTACACGGTCGAGGAGTCCCCTATGGAAGCTTTTTCCCTTCTTCCTTTTGTCACTTAAACTAAACGTAAGTTAGAATCCACTACACGGTAATAACGCACGTCTTCATTCGGGCGGGATCTGCACCATTGCTTCCTCTCCTAGGTAGATTCCCATCCTCTTAAAGAGTTTTTATTTGTCCCCATCTCCAGGAGAAGTTCTGAAGATCCTTGTTGGCCAGGAGGGCCTGAGGAACGAGGCTAACCTATAGTAACGTTTATTTATCCAGGAGAGGTGCTGAAGATCCTAGTTGGCCAGGAGGGTCTGAAGAACAAGGCTAACTTCGCTGCGGGGGGCGGCGGCGGGACGTTCGTGACGCGGTGGTGTGACGACATACCGCTCGTCATAGCAGGCGGGGGAGGGGGGATAGAGTGGCTGCAAACGCGGTTCGAGTCGTGCGACGGGACGACGCTGCCGTCCGGCCAGGCCGGCTACCTGGGGGAGAAGGGCCGCGCGGGTAGGCCTGAGGACCAGACTAACGCGGGGGGGTCTGAGGGGCAGGGGGCGACGGAGGGCCGAGGGTATGCGGGAGGGGGCGGCGGCGGGTTCCTTACTAACGGCGGCAGTGGGTTGGAATTCGCGCCGGGGGCCGGTCACAAGCGGTGGGGAGGGGGGTACGCGTTTGTGAACGGGGGCAGGGAGGGAGGGGGCTGTATAACGGTGCGGATGGGGGGTTTGGAGGGGGTGGAGGGAGGCCTACGGGGATCGGTAGGGGGTCAGGAGGAGGAGGGGGGTACTCCGGAGGGGGGAGGGGACCCAATGCAAAGGAAGCATGTGAGTGCGGAGGAGGGGGAGGGTCCTTCAATGCCGGCACAGACACAAGTGGCCGGAATGGCACCAACGCGGGGCCGGGTTATGTTATTATCAAACTGCTGAATTAGCATGATGCCATCTCTACACAGACCCAAAGCACATCACAGACAGTCACAACAGTTAAGTTCAGTTGATCTGACGGTAGGTTTTCATCTCCACGCTTCATGGCTTTTAAACGGTTGATGAGCGTAACGAAACTTTAGAATGCTCAAAGAAGACTGCACGTAAGGGCAAGTGCACTTCGTTGGGATTTCGCTAACGCCGGGCCTGGCTACGCTGTGATTGTATTAGGCTGTTTGACTGATGGTCTGTCCATCCACTCAGAAGGCTCACAGAGGGGCCAACCTTCACATAGAGCATCTCCGCACTGCTAGTCGGCTGCTAGCTGGAATCTCCAACCAGATTCTGTTGTCTATATTGCCCGCCTGTATCCATTGGCCTCCTGTAACCATTGGCGGTTACTTTCCCCACAGAATCTGCTTGGAGAGCTTTTCCGATAACCGGTCTCGCCCAGTAGATGGTAGGACGGTTCTGAACCGGAGAGTAGACAAACGCGTCTTATAACTTATATCTCTAATCGATGGTTCTATGCTGGAGAGTACATGTACAGTCGCATACATGTGGGAAGAAGTTTAGAAGTGTCACAAGACATCCACATAGTCAAATATTTCTGAGTCATGTTATAATGTTATTTTAGTTGTTCTAGAATAGTTGAGTATTAAGACGTCGTGCAAAAAAAGCGACTTATACGCAAAGTCATTCCGGTTCCTTTTATTGCCACAGTGGTACATCCGACCTTAGAAGTACACAGTGTTGTTTCACGACTACCGAGTGGGTTAGTTTGTAGTTTTCCTCTCAAGGTTTTCCTTGGTAGATTGTTAAACGGAACAGAAGCACTAAGCAGTCCTTACATCTAAGTATGGCAACACCGACCCAATGTCTAAATCTGCTATTGCTGTTCAGTAAAGTCCGACTACATCACGCTTCCAGCAGCCCTTCCACTGGCCAGGCCCGTGCAAGGTCCAACACCTCTAACTCAAGAGAACTGGGAACATTTTAATCCGGTTGATTTAGTCCTATGTTTTAGAATGAACTAATAACAGACTGAGAACTGTCTGTTGCCATAGTGATGGAGACTGTGATGACTGATTTCCATAGAGACAGACTCCAGAACTGATGTTCATGGTAAAAGAATCCCGTTGGTAGTTCTGGGATTGGGAGCGGTTCTCCTGAGTTAGTGGCGTCCAATCAGCCCCTGATAGCAACATATTACACATTGTGTAACACGGGCTACTGCAAAGTTGTTTGTGACATTTCTGAACTTGTCTAAACATTTCTTATAGACTCTAAACATGTCTTTTCAGCCTTACTTACCATGTGTTATTTTGATTGTACTTTCTAATAACTTCACAATATATCTCTCAAAGTTACACGGAACGCTGTGTTGTCGAACTATTCATTTCTGATATGTTAATAACCATATAACAGCAGACGATACAATATTTACATCCGAGTACTAATATGTAGATATCTGTACACTAGTCCTGTACATGTTTGACACGTTGTGTGCAGTTCTACTGAAGGCAGGAGACCCGCCAAATACAAGCTTACACACAGATGAAGCGGTCTGGCTCGTTTCATGCGTAATTTACAGCATTTTTCTGAAGCTATTTTCTGTTTGCAACCTGCAAATGTTGGCCACCCGGAAATTCTGCCTTTCAGCCAAAACGCATCAGTGCATGTAGGGCTATACCAATTTAATTTGTTGGCTCACGGATTCGCCCTCATATTTTTCTTGATTTGCAAAAAAAACAAAAAAAAAAAAAAAAAAAAAACAACATTTCTGAATCAACTCCAAACTCCAAAATTTGAGCATTTTGAACCCAACAGTTAAAGGAAGTCCTTTCTCTTCGGAGTCGTTACAGTTTTTCCATCTATCAATGCAATGGTTTGATCAAAAGTTTGAAATTAATTAAAACCCAGCCTGGTATGTTGACCTCATGGCTACCACAGCATTTGGGGCTATCATCTATTAGATAGATGCCTAATTTTTTTTCGCCCTGTTACTTCATATTTTTTCTGAAAAAAATCCAAGAACCAACAGGTCAAATTGGTGTGGCCTAGGGGTACAATGTAAAAGTCTCCAAGATCTGTGACTTTAGTAGTGTCCATATGAGAGCTCAGCCTACTTCTGGTGCCTCTCAGTACATTTTAGCCATGTGCCCAAAATTGCACATCAGAATGCGAGTTTGCACATGTTCATACTCTGAACCTAACATGAAGTAATCCATACACATCTCTTATGTGCTTTGCACATCCTGACGTGCACTAACATTGCAGAATGTGCAGAGGTGCACATCACACTGTGCACTGGATATCCCAGTGCGCATAGCACAATGCAGACTATGCATTCGAGATGTACAACTGCAAAACACTGTTGTGCAGTAAATTGCACATTTCAACTCTAGTAAAGTCCCCCTCTCTGTGTCATTTTGCCCACCAAGCACAGCTGATGGACTCTGTAGTCTGTAGAACAAAGTTACTATCATTTTGTAGAGCTAATAGTACTAAAGGAACATAGTAGCACAATAGTTTAGAATAGTATCTCATTCACACCTTAAATTTCAGCTCCTAAAGAACAATAAGGTGACCCACATTGTACATCCATGTAATTGCACACAAACCTCTTGAAACAGATTGTATCAATGCTGTATGGCTGATTCTTTTTTCAATAAAGCTATAGACTGTCGAAGACTCTCGTCATATTTTGTGTTCTCTTTTGGTTCTCAAAATATTTTTTGGGGGTAAAATTGTGTGTGTGAGGAATTTGGGTCTGGAGTTTCACAAAGTCGAAAAGCAAACGGTTAAATCCGGAAAGTCGTCTGCCTTGAAACACTTTCCACAGAATCAGTAAGCTAAAATTTGGTCAGGAAAAAAATTTAATTTTTGGCAATTTGATCAAAATTTAAGTGCTGGTATATTATGCCTTTGCCTTTGAAACTTTACTGTTCCTGTCATACTTTCCACAACTTCCCTTGGTAAGATTTCGGATTTTTTCACCTGAATTCAGTCTCATCTGTCCTTATCCTTCTAAGCTAGAAATATTTATTACATACATGTACAAACACTTAATAAAAGTTCTTTGGGATTTAAATTCTATACATTATTACAATAATAACTTATAAGGAGAATATGGCTTCAAATAACTTATTGTTGTGCTGAATATTTTTGAAAATTAATATTTTTTGAAAGAAAAAAGACCCTCTCAAAACTACATTTTGTTAAACATAAAGTTAAATCTATGAAAGGGTCCCATAACACTGATTGTGCAACAAAGCTCTGGTTTTGATTCAAAGCGACCGATTTTTTCAGGCCTTGTGTTATTCAATTTTTATCAGCTCCGTAAACCAATGGATATCAGAGGTGTCCAAAACAAACAAAAATTATTGGGCAGAAAGAAGCATCTGCACATTTTAGAGCCTTTAGTAGGGTTGTAGAAGGACTGTTAAAATGTTGGCGTGTAATTTTCCTTTCGTTGTGTTCTAGTAGGGTTACTCTGGAAGTACAGCCAAAACTGCCCTTGATTACTCAGGACCAATAAAATCTGGCAGACAGTCACCCAATAGATACATGTACATGTAGGTTTCTTAATGCTGAAGTCAAGGGGAAAAATTATCTACGGACCAAAAAAAAGTGGTCGCACTGGCCAGGCAGTCCTTATATAGAGGTCTGACCATGTACGAAGCCTTGGCCTGTGACCCTGTATTACAACTAACACAGGTCTGGATACGGCCTGACTTAAGTTATAATAGTTCTGGGGTCTCCCTACATTCAGCCTTCTACTGGACATACATTGTACAAAGACAGACTTGTATTACAAGTAGTTCACCTTTCTCATGTGTGCAGCAAACATACATGAACCCTCCTGTTTCTCATCCTGGATCCGATTGCAAGCTGACGTCATGGCAACGCTATTGCACTTCGATCGTGTACTACTAAACAACTCTTGTGTACACCTGGTAACCATGGCAACAAAGCACAACAATGGCTTTCACCTCTGAACCTGTGACCTATGAACCCTGACCTCCAGGTCATCTGGAGAACATGTACATGGTGACGACCTGGAACAGCATGACGACAGCCAATAGGAGCCAGTCTTTGTTCTGCAGGTAGTTGTTGTGTTCTGCGTTCCGATTGGCCAGCATGCGGAGGCGCCCGCTGAGGTCGGCCAATCGGTCGTTGGTCTCCTGCTGAACTCTGACCAGAGGTCGGACGGCCTGCTCGATGGTGGCGGCCGTGTAGTGGCGGGAACGCGGGCCGCGGCTGGAGTCCGCACGACTGGAGACTGGGGGGAGGAACAGTTACACAGTTACATACATGTACAAACACAAACAATCACACATTGTAACTGCTGTGTAGTGGCGGGAACGCGGGCCGCGGCTCGAGTCAGCTCGACTGGACACTGGGGGGGAGGGGGAGGAACAGTTACATACAAACATTCACAAACACAAACACTCACACAGCACATCCTAACGGCCGTGTAGTGGCGGGAACGCGGGCCGCGGCTGGAGTCTGCTCGGCTGGAGACTGGGGGAGGACAGTTACACATTTAAACACTTACTCACACAACAATACATCCTAACGGCCGTGTAGTGGCGGGAACGTGGGCCGCGGCTGGAGTCCGCAAGCCTGGAGACTGGGGCAGAACAGTTACACAGTTACGTACAAACACTTACACTTACATACACAACAATACACCCTAACTGCCGTGTAATGGCGGGAACAGGGCCGCAGCTGGAGTCAGCTCGTCTGGACACTGGGGCAGAACAGTTACACATTTACATACAAACACGTACTCACACACACACACAGTACATCCTAATGGCTGTGTAGTGGTGGAAACGGGGCCTCGGCTGGAGTCTGAAAGGAGGGCACCTAATCATCATCGTCCTTCACACAATACATCATAGTGTCTTTTCTAAATTGTAACCGTTAACCCGCTTACAATTGTGAAGAAAGAACTGAGTAAAAAATTCTGTCCTACCATCACTTCTCTCGTCGTCTGAAGCGTCGTCCTCGTCCGGGCGCGGCTCGCTGCTGGAGCGGTCGGAGTCCCTGTGGGGTGGGCCGGGCGGTTTTCCTAGGTGCTGTAAAACAAACATAATTATACATGTACATACGTTATACTGCACACACACACACGTTATACTGCTGGAGCGGTCGCTGTTGCTGTGGGGAGGGCCGGGCGGCTTTCCCAGGTGCTGTAAAACATGGCACAACACTGTAGTAGCTTATACACACATACATTATACTGCACACGTTGCTGTGCAGCCCACAGGAACAAGTTGCTGTCCCTGTGGGCTAGGTTAAGGCTGAAGTTGGAGTTGGCAAACATCATCATCATGCTGTAAATTTACTTGTGGAACATCGTTTTTTTTTTCAAACTCAATCTTGCTTTAGAACATCATTTAAAATGTGTCCAAGGCCCCCTACCTTCCTGTTCTTGATGCTCTGCTGCCTTTGCGTGCCGGGCACACTCATTATGCTGGTGGTCCTGACCATGGGGGTCTTGTGGCGGGTCTTGGCCTGGATCACTCCCCCAAACTCGTACTGGAACACGTCGTTGTGAGGGTCCCACGGACGCGTGCTGGGATAAACAAACAAACAAACAAACAATTGTTATCATGACTCCCCCAAACTCGTACTGGAAAACGTCGTTGTTAGGGTCCCACGGACGCGTGCTGGGAAAATAAACAAGCAAACAAACAATCGTTATCATCAACCCTATGGCAGCGTGCTGGGAAAAAAAGGACAATTTTCTAACAACGAATCACTAGAAACTAAGGTAACATATGCAAAGCAAACGCATGTTTTAATTACCTTCGCATATGGTCTGCTCCGTTAATTCTTACACATTCATGTATTTTGTGACAGGAGTCTAAATCACTCCTCCTATGAAATTGCAACATTATGTAACCCAACACTAGTTACCAAGGTGACAGATGTCTGGTTTAGGTTGCTGACCTTTTTTGGTTGGAGAAAAAGAGGAAAAAAGAGAGCAAAACAATATGCTTTTGCTTTTATTCTGTGAAGGTAAACATAATTATCGTCAAACTCCTGTGGAACTAGTAAGTGTAGTTTGTACTCATAGATTTGGTTCATTTGAAACTGCTAGAAACCTACTCGATGTGTTTATATATCCAGCTGTAAGGTGCATATAGAGAGTAAAACCTACTCGATGTGTTTATATATCCAGCTGTAAGGTGCATAGAGAGTAAAACCTACTCTATGTGTTTATATATCCAGCTGTAAGGTGCATAAAGAGAGTAAAACCTACTCGATGTGTTTATATATCCAGCTGTAAGGTGCATAAAGAGAGTAAAACCTACTCTATGTGTTTATATATCCAGCTGTAAGGTGCATAAAGAGAGTAAAACCTACTCGATGTGTTTATATATCCAGCTGTAAGGTGCATATAGAGTAAAACCTACTCGATGTGTTTATATATCCAGCTGTAAGGTGCATAAAGAGAGTAAAACCTACTCGATGTGTTTATATATCCAGCCGTAAGGTGCATAGAGAGTAAAACCTACTCGATGTGTTTATATATCCAGCTGTAAGGTGCATAGAGAGTAAAACCTACTCGATGTGTTTATATATCCAGCTGTAAGGTGCATAGAGAGTAAAACCTACTCGATGTGTTTATATATCCAGCTGTGCTCCTCTGCGCCTTCGCGCTCGAACAGTTTGGGGACCCAGTCCGCCCGTTTCTCCTTCCGTTCCCGCGCGTCTTTCCGCTGCTGCTCCTCCAGGATGTACTTCTCGTTCGTCGCCTTGTTCTGGTCGCAGGCACTGATCGCAGCGGAGACGTGCTGCCATAGCCTGGGATAAACAAACAAACAAACAAACAAACGTTTACCAACACACATGCACTGATCGCCGCGGAGACGTGCTGCCACAGCCTGGGATAAACAAACAAATAAACAAGCGTTTACCAACACACACGCACTGATCGCCGCGGAGACGTGCTGCCACAGCCTGAAACAAACAAACAAATGTTTTACCACCACCAGGGCTGGAAATACTGGGTGCATGTGCACCTTAGTGCACCCAAATTTGAAGCTGTGCAGCCAAATATTTTCATAGGTTTATGTAAGCAAAGATGCTAAATGTATTAATAGTATTCTTAACATTCAAGTGTCAGAAAAGTAATGAAACCATTGTTATAGTACTTTCCTCAAGAAGCGAAACATACTTAGTTTTTCCTAACATTCTACTTATTTTATCTTATATGGTGCACCCACAGAAAATTTTTTGGGCTCCCGATATTTTAGGTTAGGTGCATCAGTGCACCTATACCCAAAAAAGAATTAGTCTCTGTCTACCTTATTCTATGACACCAGAATGTTGTAAAAACTAAGAAAAAGTCTCACTTTTCGGACTCGAAGTCTCCCTGGTCCTCGAAGCGAACCGTCTGTCGCTTCAGTCTGCGGGATTTCACCTCGTCTGTCACACTCCAGAACACTTCTGTTTTCTGTACGGAAAAAATACATCACAAAATGTCAATAACAATCCAGTTTTTTCTGTGAGCAAAAAACATCACAAAACGTCAGTCATGCTCCAAAACACACATTTCTCTGTACGTAAATGTCTTGGTCCCTTGGTTTATAACAGTAGACAGTTATACCTTACCTCTGAGTCTGTGCGTTTCTCTGTGATGTAGACGTCCTGGTCCCAGTGACCCTCCAGTGTGGCCAGTGTTTATAACAGTAGAACCTCAGTTGTACATGTAAGATCTTACCTCTGAGTCTGTGCGTTTCTCTGTGATGTAGACGTCCTGGTCCCAGTGACCCTCCAGTGTAGCCAGTGTTTATAACAGTTATAACAGTAGACCCACAGTTGTACATGTAAGATCTTACCTCTGAGTCTGTGCGTTTCTCAGTGATGTAGACGTCCTGGTCCCAGTGACCCTCCAGTGTGGCCAGCGTCTCCTTCCCAAGCTTGATTTTTCCTGTGATCTGGTTACTGGCATCGCTGCCGCCGAGGAAAGGCTGCAGGGAGGGGAAACAGCTGATTCTGTTGGCTTTCTGTGTTGTTAAGCTGAGAAACTGGACTATGTTATACCTCAAACATAAACACGCGCGTGGGCACATACATACACACACTTACACACACACACACATGTACGGGCACATACATTTTGTACACACACACACGCACACAAGAACACACACAGACAAAAAACACACAAACTCACACACACACGCACACACACAAGCCCACACACACACACACATGCGCACACACACACTTTATTTCATACCTTCAGTTTGAACTCTATCTCTGTCCTGTATCCCGTCTTGTCACAGGTCAGGCTGACTTTTCCTCCCATTTCCATTGTCATAGTGCCGTACAGGATACCTGGAATACAGCAAAGTCAGGATATTTTATACTTTCAGAAATACATCAAGTTTTACAGCCAAAGTTACGCTCAACAGGTCTACTGGCACATTATAATGTAAGCATGAACAAATGAACTTTATTGCTGAACCATCTTAGAGAGTACAGTGATTTGTGATGTTTGTTTGGTTGCTGTGAAACATTAAAACAGATAACTGCAGCGGGATGGCAGTTCAGCATTAAGGACAACTCAAACATGCTGAAATGTAACAACAATCTCACACACTTATGGAGACCCTAAGTGCCTGTACAACTACAGTCCCTAATACTTTGTTCACTTGTACTATAAGGATATAACACTATAGGATGGCAGTTCAGCACTAAGGACAACTCCAATGTGCTGAAAAGCAATACTTCTCGTATAGTGCTGTGCACCTAAACCCAGATTTAAGTTAGTTCCGGACCAGATTCAAGTCCAGAGGTTTAGGTTCAGTTTGTCCGGACCTAAACTCATGCCATGGCATATACACAAGTCATTCAATTGCATGTTGGCAACCTTGCAATATTGTATGGGCAAAACTGTGACCAGATAACATAGAGGCCGACACTTGACGACGCCCGATGGCAATGTTTTCTTCATTTTGCAGCACAGATTTTGCAATCTATGGAATGTTTTAGGTGGTTTGGAAGAAAAGGGGTATGTGACATTTTTTTTTTGTAATAAGTCCAGAATTTGTTCTTGACTTAAAAGTTTTTTTTTTACAAGTCCAGAACCGGTCCAGCGAACCGGTACACAGCACTATTCTGGCGTTTGTGGTAACTAAGGGTTAATCATACCTTTACAGCTGACGTAGGGCATGGTGATGGCGTAATCCTCCCCTCGGTTCAGCAGGGTTAAACACGCCGTGCCGTCCAGGATGGCTGACAGCGAGTTACCTGCAGATAACAACACAGTTTAATATGTTACAGCTGCCTAAACACAACAACACAGTAAGGTTACAGCTAACTGCACAGTTTAATATGTTACAGCTGCCTAAACACAACAACACAGTAAGGTTACAGCTAACTGCACAGTTTAATATGTTACAGCAGCATGCTGCATTCTGTCAAGGAAAAACTCCTGCCATAAGCATGTTTTGGCAACTTATTTCTTCTAGTTTATCGAAGAAAATGTGCAGGAAGATTCACATTTTCATTCTTTCTACGATAATCTTTTTATAAAACATTTGTTGCCTCAAATCCCAAATTCTAGGATTCTCTGCCCCTCACCCATGATTGTTAGCTTTTTTTTTTAGCAAACAGACAAAGAGTGAAGGAGACAGACTGTATGTGAAGAGTGAAGGAAAGAAGAAGAGAAGAGAGAGAAGAGGAGAGCAGAATGTTGTACTCACAACCTGTGCCCATGACAAGGTGTGAAGGATGGAACAAGAGAAGACAGAATGAACGACAAGACAGAGTGAAACCTACCTCCCAACATAAAGGGTGGAGCGAAAGAGGCACTTTTTATTTTGGGGTGAAAAATTGTTGAGGTAGGCAGAAAAGATGGATGGAAAGAAGGAAGGGAGGAAGGAATAACAGAGGGAAGGAAGGAGGGAGGGAAAGACATGAATTCTGTATTATTTATTATAGACCGAACAAGGAAAAACAATTTACCTATAATTAGTGATATTCACTCTGTATATATGAACTAACGCTTAAGACTTTTTAAATTAAGTTGCTAATGTGCACCCACCCAAAAAAAGCTTTTAAAACAAGAAAAAATGCCTCTATTGTGCAACAATTTCCATGTTCAAAACCTCCTCTAAATGAACGACTGCTGTTCTGTGATAACCCCCTCCTCACCGTAAAACTTGGACTTGCACAAGATGCTGCCATTGATGCAGAACCCGTCCTGTCGATTCGTCACGTAGAACGCAGAAACTGGGGGGTGATGGGATACCTGCAGCACAAGGGCAAACTCAAGGTCAAACAAAAAATTGTAACTTACAGTAATTGAAAAAAGGGGTTAAGGCCACTTGAAATGAATTCCTATGAAGAATTGTCTTGCTGGCAGTTTGAGGGTTTAAGAAGTTTTTCTGAAGTCTTTACTTGAGACGAGTTTCTTACCTGCTCTGCCATGAACAAAGTCTTGCTGCCAGTCAGAGGGTTACAAAATTTTCGTCTTTACTCGAGACAATTTCCTTAGGTTTTTCTTATGTCTTTACTTGGGACAAGGTGCTTACCTGTTCCGCTATGAAGAAAGTCTTACTGCCAGTCTGAGGGTTAGAAGTTTTTCTCAAGTCTTTTCTTGAGAAGAGTTTCTTTTCTGAAGTCTTTACTTCAGAAGAGTTTCTTTTCTGAAGTCTTTACTTGAGACGAGTTCCTTACCTGCTCTGCGATAAAGAAAGTCTTGCTGCCAGTCTGAGGATGGGGCCACATGCAGCGGAAAGTCTCCCCTAAGATCGGGTTGTACGGCTTCTTCAGACCTTTTGGCTTCTTGTAGAAACCTGAGAGGTACCAGCGAACGATCTGCTTCATACGGCCGAACGGATCGTCTATGTTCACCGCGCTGGGGGGAGGGATAACACGGGTAAGGACAACTGTCAAAAATATCAATTTTGTTAGAGTTTGTACACGGAAATACATGTTGTCATATCTTGCACCATAAGCAGTCATGAAGGAGTGTGTAGTAATATATAATAGTTACACCTCATTCATTCATAACTATAATTGACTGGAGTTGTACTGTCAAAAATTTGGGTGAGTCCAATTGTTGGCAATTGCAGTTAAATCTTGTTCATAATGACTTCTACCAACACAGATGAACTTTCAAGATATAATTGACATAACTTGTAAGTTAACTTACTCCGACAGTAGGTCTGCGTGGTAATAGTAGTCTGACAGTTTGTCCAGGAATGACCTTGGCTCCAGGATGAAGGTCGGGAGGACGACTCTGGACAAGTCCATTCCTGGCCGCACCTGGGGAAGTTCAACAATGACAGGTTTTGAGAAAACACCAAACTTTTCCTTGTGTTTATGTCACAGTTAATATGTACATGTAGTTACAGTAATGATCATTATAGAATTCTTGTCTATGAATTGACTGTTTTATGAGCATAAAAATGATAACCTTGTTAATCATTAGAGATTTCAAAGCGTCCAGATGTTTGTTTGTTTGTTTGTTTACCTGTTTGATAAGCGTCCAGATGATTGTTTGTTTGTTTACCTGTTTGATAAGTGTCCAGATGATTGTTTGTTTACCTGTTTGATAAGTGTCCAAATGATTGTTTGTTTGTTTGTTTACCTGTTTGATAAGTGTCCAGATGATTGTTTGTTTGCTTGTTTACCTGTTTGATAAGCGTCCAGATGATTGTTTGTTTGTTTACCTGTTTGATAAGTGTCCAGATGATTGTTTGTTTACCTGTTTGATAAGTGTCCAAATGATTGTTTGTTTGTTTGTTTACCTGTTTGATAAGTGTCCAGATGATTGTTTGTTTACCTGTTTGATAAGTGTCCAGATGATTGTTTGTTTGTTTACCTGTTTGATAAGCGTCCAGATGATTGTTTGCTTGTTTACCTGTTTGATGAGTGTCCAGATGATTTTTTTGTTTGTTTGTTTGTTTGTTTGTTTATTTACCTGTTTAATGAGAGTCCAGATGATGCTCTTGTTCTCGTCGGCGACCTCCTCGGTCTGACTGGCCCCTCCCTGCTGCCCCAGCTCCTCGCACGTGTTCTCTCGGTAAACCGTCTCCTTCGGAGGCTCCAAATCCTCCTCAAACACCTGGTCATGCTGCTCAGACGCCTCCGAGTCCGAACCCTTACTCTCCTTCTCATCCTCATCTGCAGAAAGGTAAGACACATTAGCTAAGGAACACAGGTTTCTCTCTGTCAAAACCTTACTCTCCTTCTCATCCTCATCTACAAGGGGCACAGAGAAAGTTAAAACTAACAGCTACAAGGAGCACATAGAAAGGTAAGACACTGGCTAAGGAACACAGGTTTCTCTCTGCCAAACCCCTACTCTCCTTCTCATCCTCATCTGTAAGGAACAAAGTTGAGACATCAGAAAACACTACTAACAGTACGTGCTGCATTGTATCCATGCTTTATCCAGGACCTTGCTTTGGCACGGGTACACGGAGACTATCCAGAACCCTGCTTGATCCTAACCCTAACCCATTCAGGCACAGTACTAGACAGGCACGGTTCTGGGTACAATGTGGAGTACTAGTCAGACTCTTTTTTTCAACCTTCCGTTAGAAAACAGATTAAGGTTTTAAACTCTTGTTATACTGCAACAAAGTTTCTCTTCTCCAGAAGAAGGAAACAGACTTAAGATTTGATGCTGCTGCTTCTGTCCTTTTGCATAAAAGCAAAATCCTTAACTCCCAAATGTCTGTAAGTCTTCATAGTTTCATTGTTTATTTAGTCATTTGGACTGTACCACCTCGGAGGGGTGTAATGGCACCGACCTTTTTCCTCCTCCTTTTCTTCCTTCTCCTCCTCCTCCCCGTTCTGGGTTGTGATGGTACGACCCAGCGCCAGGTGAACTTGAAAGTGACGTTCAATGTCAGACTCGTTCCAGCTGCTGAAAAAGATAAACACAAAATAATTAACAAAAAAAGAGATGAACAAAAAAATAATAAACAAATAAACGCCAGTCTTTTCTCCTGCAGTCTCCAGTGTTACTGACGAAAGGTAGTGGATGCTACCTGAAATGTCTGACCATTTCCAAAATCATATCCAGTTGCCTGAGTAACTGTGTTTGGCATATCTTATTATCTGGATGTCTAACCTTCCATTTAGTGTCATTACTGGAGTTTTTATAATTTAATGCACATTTTTCTGCTGTTTTGATTTCCAACCTTGCAAAACCTTCTAGGTCTGTCTCTATAGGAGCATGTAAGCAGAACGTACTGCACCTGCGCGAAACCCGTGATGTATTGTACATAGTACTTTGGCAGAACGTCTCATATACATATAAGGTCATATTCGCATATATAAGGTTAACATCCTGCCTGTAGCTTCTAAATGTTATGTCGGAAAAGATATCATCTGCAACAGGCAAAATTTTGATGGAACGGTGACCAAACATCCAACAAAAACCGTGAAAACCCAGGGTTTTGTGCAGCAGGCGCAGTTTGTTCTGCTGACATCCTGTCTCTAGGTAACCATTCCTTATATATTACAGTAATAACTGTGGTGCAGCCTCTACAAGTGACAGGAGCACAAAAACAACAGTCACGGTGGAGCAATGCTGGTGATGGTGGATGGGGTTATACTAAAGGGGAGTGGTGACTAGACGAAAAAAGCTGTGAGAACTACTTGTGGATATCATGATGCCAAAGCTTACAAATTTGACACACATGACAAAAACAGAAACACAACTAATACAACAGTCACTGTGAAAGAATGCAGGTGAACAAGGTTATCTACGTTCAGTAGACAAGTTAACTTCAAGTTCCAATGGTAGTGATGACACTAAAACAGTGACTATGGCAGTGTAAAACTAAGCATGGTTCTTACTAAGCCATACAAAGTTAAAAATGTTTCTCTCATTGTTAGTATTGAAACTAAGAGAGATTGTAATGGAATTGGGTTAAGGGGAGGGGGGGGGGGTAAAGCTGGAGAAATGGGCACACAAACATACAAACAAACAAACAAACAAACAAACGAAAGCAACTCTAACCTGGGGAAGATAAGGTCATCACCACTGTGGAAAAACAACAAAACGGATCATGGAGTAAAGATAAAACAGAAAACATCAACTTGAACTTCTGCAAACACACCAAGTTCACCTTACAACAAAGACAGTCTTAGTGTCAGGGAGAAATCAACTATGATTGAACTTCACCTTGAAAGTGTTAAATGCCACACAAAACTGTGGCAACTCATTCAGGGGGAATTATGGAGTTTGTGAGTTAAAAATCTGCCTTAGATGTTAGGACTGTTTTAAGCACATTAATTTTAGCCACCCACATAAAAAGCTCACCAACACAAGCAAACCTCTTTTCAACACTCTGTTCACACCTTGAACTTAGCACCTGTTAGTAACCAAGAATGAAACAACAACAACAGACTAGGTGCAAAGTAAACCTATTTTAGTGTCTTTAGATGTTAGAGTAAATGTGAACTGTACTTGTGAGGAGTTGGGCACTTAAAAACATACAGGAACAGCTATGAAATATTTTCATCACGTCAAAGCAAATTTTGGAGTTGTTTGTTTCAATTTCCAATGTGTTTTCATAATGTCAAATGAGTTACAATATCAAGGTGATTAGAATTGAAGCACGGCAAAATCACGCAAACAAACAAACAAACAAACAAACAAACAAACAAACAAACAAACCGGCCCTAACCTGGCATAGATTATCTCATCCCAACTGTGGGGAAACAAAACCCAGCATGCAAACTTTAATAACAAGTTCAATAACAAGTTTAGGCCACACACAAGTAATTCTGTTCTGTTCCACATTCACACAAGCATCAGATTTGGCCAGTAGCATATAAACCATAAAGCTCATTGTAAAACAGAGTTACTGACAATTCTAACTGCTCACACCCCCTGGTTGTAACAAATTGTTGTAACATTTAGTAAAAATGTTACAACCCCCTGGTTATAACATTTAGTAAATACATAATTCATATATGTGTGCAAGTGCATGTGTGTGTGTACATGTGTAACCCCTTGATAAATTTTTAACTATAAAAAAAAAAAAACAAGTGTCATAATTAGTGAAAGAAATCTGACACAACAAGAGCTAAATTTGCTTCTCTGATTCATTGATAGATAACAATGTCCAGTTCTGACGGTCATGAACTTACAGGGTCCTTGACTGCTGGTTAGGGTCTGAGGTGTCCAGTGTAGACATAGATTGCTGCCCGTTAGTTGCGGCGCTGTCCTTGACCATGGAGCGCATGAGCAGGCTGGAACAGCGCAGGGACAGCTCCATTGCATCCATCCAGCAGCGACCTACATGTGAACAGCAACAGGACAGCATAACTCTGCTGTTTTACACAGTAATGGAGCAGGCTGGAATAGCGCAGGGACAGCTCCATGGCATCCATCCAGCATCGACCTACATGGGAACAGCAACAGGACAGCATAACTCTGCTGTTTTATACAGTAAATGGAGCAGGCTGGAATAGCGCAGGGACAGCTCCATAGCATCCATCAAGCATCGACCTACACAGCAATGCAACACTCTAGCGACAGGATAAATTTCTGTTGTTTTATACAGGGGATGAAAATAATATATTCTTTGGCATACATTAACGGAGGTTAGACATCCAGGCAATGAGATGCACAAGAAAAAGTTACTAGTACTCAAGCAACTGGATAAGATTTGAAAACTGTTTAAAGTACAATGTAGCATCTACTACTTTTCTTCAGTGTCTAGAATTATCAGAATTGATTGTTCATTTATCTGTAAAAATTTATACCAATCTTTATCTACACCACAGCATTTGATATGCTGACATGTTTTAAAATCACCCAAAAGAAAGCAGAATTGTTTCTCGAAGATTTTATCAACTCATTTGACAGTCCCAACAGGACTATCTCACTGTAGTGTGGGGGTGTTTGGAACGTACCATCTGCATCAGTAGCAGCCCTGAGGATCAGGTAACTTGTGGGTAGAGGTTGGGTGATGGCAGGCACCGTCTCCCCTTTGGGGCCCTGCAATAAAACAAACAAACAAACAAACAAATAAACAAACAACAGCAAACTAGAAAAAAGCAGAGTTGAGGTTACTTAGAATATTGAGGAATTGATTGTCTAAAACTGTTAAGAAAGAAATAGTTTCAGTTGTTCAGTAAAATTTGCAAAAAGGGTTTGCCACTGCAGTTCTCCCTGTCAGTGCTAGGGGGCAGTCTTTCCTCTCATCTTGCATGCTCTAACACTGTCCAGATCAGGTGACAGAAAAAGGTTCATGATGCTTGAGTAAAAATACTAAAATTTGGTATGATTATTTACATTGTAAGTGTTAACTAGTGTGTCAACCCTGCACTTCTCCCCAACAGTGATAGGTGGCGCCTCACCTTGGATGCCCAAATGGACTGGTCCAGTGGATGAAGACTTACCTTGGATGCCCAAATGGACTGGTCCAGTGGGTGGAAGACTTTGAAACAGAATCCGTTCATCTTCGAGGGTCGCTCTATGATTTCGCAGGCGTTGAGCAGGATTGTCCCGACCCACGCTCCATGCTTCGGCCCCTTGTAAATAATGAGCACTCCCGGCTTCAGCACGCACCAGTACTTCTGCCAGCCTTTCAGCGTGCCGCGGATCTAACCATTGTGTTCATACGGGGGGAGACAGGGTCACTTTAGAATATTGGCTTTCAATGGACTCAACATTTACTACAGTTTTAAATGGAATACTCTGAATGTTCAAGAAGCAAATTTACGAATAACTTTAACATATGGCCTGTAACATACTGTAAGAAAAACAGCTACAAAATAAGATGTTCTATTCTTTTCTGCATTAAGCTCACTAAATCTGTGGTAGATAAGGGTCTCTGAATGAGAACTCTTGTAAATGTTGCCTTAATCCATTAAAAAATTATCATATTTTTACACAGCTTCTTAACAGAAAAATGAACTTATTAATAATAAGAATTTTCTCTCTGTGTGACCTTGACCAGCCACTGACCTTGAGCCAGTCCCTTAAGACGACGACAGACGGGTCCTTAAGTGTGTTGAGCAGCTCCTTGGCAGCCCGCTTCTTCTCCCGCCGGTAGTTCTTCTTCTGTTCCTTCAGAGACTCCTTCTTACTGAGCTTGGAGCGGTCCGAGTCTTCTTCATACAGCTTCGTCTCAGACTGGAAATAAACATATTAAAACATAAACATACACTTCTCTATACAGCTTGGTTTCAGACTAGAAGGTAAAACAAACTGGGGCAGTGTGAGTGAGTGAGTGAGTGAGTGAGTGAGTGTGAGTGAGTGAGTGAGTGAGTGAGTGAGTGAGTGAGTGAGTGAGTGAGTGAGTGAGTGAGTGAGTGAGTGAGTGAGTGAGTGAGTGAGTGAGTGAGTGACTGAGTCAGTCAGTCAGTCAGTCATTAGGTACAGACACAGACTGGATTCTGGAGGACTAGTGGTGTAATTGTAAAGTTTGGGCTAAAACTTCTGCATCTGGAATAGAGGCCATTTTTCTTTCAGCTTCAGTCATCACAAATTGGTTATAACTGGAAATAAAGAAAGGGCTGATATTGGTATATTATCATTCTTCAGAATATTCGAATTTCTTCAGTCCCTTTATTATTTACATATAATATTATACTTCAAGACCAATAATCATACTAAGTAAGGGTTTGTATTTGTAGAATCTATAACCTTTCTAAAGAAAATTCTATATATTTTCCCTCCCTATAACCATTCCTGGTTTGTCCCTATATATTTTCCCTCGCCACAAACATTCCTGGTTTGTCCCTATATATTTTCCCTCGCCACAAACATTCCTGGTTTGTCCCTAATTTGTTCTCACAGCGTCTCACCACCCTTCCAGTGCCCCAAACATCATTCCCATAATCTGATGGTACAGATTTATTGATTGGTTGGCTCCACAACCTTTAGTATATGGTACATGCTCACTGATTGGCTGCAGTCATCAGGTTTGATCATTGTAACAAGGCCACTGATTGGCTGCTTTGTTATTACACCTGCAGGGCTGTGACATCTGATCACCAGCAGCCATATTGATTTGCTTTGACCTTGGAAATATTCTTTTTTCCTTCCAGCCCAGAAAAGGTCAAATGTAACACTAAATCCCACCAGATGGCAACTGTTAAACTCCACTGCTCTCATGCCCATTCCCTTAGGCAAAATATATCATACATGCTACATGTTTATATAATATTCATTAATAATTATGCTCTGAACACAGAAATTTTTCTTGTCACAAATTACAAAGTATTACAAGGCAAGTAGGAAATTTTGGTTGGCCTGGCCATTCCCTTAGGCAAAATATAATATTAATATTATCACAGGCTACTTGTTTATATATAATATTCAAATAACATACATCTTCCTGAACTGTACACAGACATCTTTCTTGTCACAAACTACATTGTTAAGCATTACAAGAAAAGTAGGACATTTGGGTCGGTAAAAGGTCCCTATGCTGGTAATTTCTAACCCCATAGCCAATTCATTATGAGGGTAGCATTCAGCATGCTACAAGTGAAAACGGATTGTTATTCTGACTCAGCTCAAACTTCAAAGCACAAGCTTAACTGCAGGCTCTCATATTTGTGACTGATTTCTTGACCATACACAGCTAGCAATGTTTAATCTTATTCTGAGCATATCAAATCATCAGGCAAGATTCCAACATATAACTTCTCACATATCTGAAGTGCAAAATAACTGCTCTGTCCAGATTTCTTCCTATGACACTGAACTTGAAATGAAATGAAATGCAAATGAAACTTCAAATGATTGGACCAACCCGGGGATTCTTAATTCAGGACAGCTTTAATGCATGCACACATTGTAGGAGAAAAAAGCACAAGCATCATGCTGTACTGGTCTGTACCTTCTGTAATCTTCAGTACCTATAGTATCACTTACTGAGTACAAGCTCATGTTGAGATGTTTGCTGACAGTGAAAGATCTGTCAAAATACTGGGTGCATGTGCACTTTAGTACACCCAAAATTGAAGCTGTGCACCCAGTTTTTTTTCTGTGGGTGCACCTGAGTACACCCAAATATTTTCGTAGGTAAACATAAGTAAAGATGTTAAATGTATACATTTACTATACAACATATTGTTGACATCTAAGTGTCAGAAAAATAAGAAAATCTTTGTTGAAGTATTTTTTTTTTAGAAATGAAACATAATTTGCTAAAATTCTACTTATTTCATTTCATGAAGCAATTTTTTGTGCACCCAATTTTGTAGGTTGGGTAAACCAGTGCATCAATTCCCAAAAATGAATTTTGAGCCCTGGAGAAGTTTTTACCCACCTTGACACGGCGGCGAGGCCAGCGTGCCTGGCTGAGCCATCGCGGCGACAGCCGATCCACAAACGACACCGAACGTTTCATCCACGCAAAAGTTCCAACAAAACCGTTTCATACCAAAACCTCCAACAGAAACGGTGAACAGTTTCATACCAGCACTTCCTGGAATACACGACACACAACAGAACCGTCCAATGCTTTTGCCACAGAAGCTTCTGACAGTTTCGCGAAAGATCCAACTGTTATAAAACAGAAACATCCAACAGTTTCGTACCAGCACTTCCAGGAGTAACACAACAGTGCCCCATCCGACGGTTTCAGGACATTAGTTTCCGACAGTTTCGCGACAGATCCAACAGTTACATGACAGAACCATCCAACATTTCCAGGAGTACACAAAAGCAAGATCCTCATCACAAAACCTCAAAAGATTGTGAGTAAAGCAAAACCTCACTGAAAGAAAAGGACTAGTACAGGTGGGTTAGATCCTTTAGTGCCACCTGCAGATGTATTGGACTCAGGGCAGAGAATGTCTGTCTGTATTGGGCAGAGGGCAGAGAAGACGTCACTAATGACCTTACAGCCACGTCGGCCATATTGTACCTGACATGACCGAGGCTCCTGTCATGCAAACCTGAGCCCAGCACAAAGGCCAGGTGTGGAGTCAGCGGAAACTAAACCTGCTGCACACGGCAGAAATCCACGGCAAGGCTGGCCTTTACTCTCACACAGTAGGGGAAAGGTGCTAATGTGCCACGTAAGCGACAAACGCTCAGATATTGATATATGACAAAAATAGATGGATAAAATGTATTAAGAAGACTCATAAGACATGTAAGATTTTAAATTAGATCCTCTCAGCCCTCAAAAGTCCATCCCTAAAATATAAACATAATATAGTCCATCCCTACCTATATTAACAAAATCTCATACAACTGAGTGGTCTACTAGGTCAGTTTTGCCAAGGAGGTTAAAATTAAAAATCAAAATTTTTGACTGTACATAATTTGTGTACTGTGCTCTAAGTTAAACTTACCACAAGGGGGACAATTTGTTTCTGAAATGTTCAAACCATGCACAAACCAGCACCAAGAGACCACGTCTAGCGAGACATTAGACGTTAAACAAGGACAACAACAACAACCACCACCCATGTGCCTGCATGTGAGTATTTAGGGAATATTGCTGAAGCTGCTTGTGTCTGAAATCTGGGGCATAACATTCTAATAACAGCATGGAGACTCTGTAATGGCAGGCGGGAATGAGGCCAGCTATGTGTGACTGCCCCACATACATACAGGCAGGGCAGTATTTTATTGTCAGATGCCTCTACAGAAGCTATTATACATATCATAAACATGTATATTACTATATTATAGGATTTTCTTGATCAAGTAAGATATACAATATAAGGTTTTTATAAATGGGCAGCTGTATTTGCAGTATAATACTGGTATATTCATTAATATCTTTTTTTTTTCTTTGACTGGCTGAAGAGAGATCATTCATTTAGTATTTGACATCAATTTGGGACAGCTATAAGTATTTACAGGAATATGAACTGAAGATTATTACTAAATAATGTTCATGACTCAGCTTTTAAATTGAATATACCTGTATCAGTGTTCGAAATACCTGTCTGCAGTCTGCAATCTGCAGATAGATTTCAAAGATTGCAGAAGAAAAATTTATACAATCTGCAATTTTGCAGCAGGAAAAACTGGAACTAGGGATTTGGTGCTCTTGGCCCCAAGGACAGACAACACTTAAGCTCCTGTTCTGAAACAACAGGAGCTTCTTCACTAATTTACATGAACCTTGTCTTGACTTATCTTTTGTTTCCTTTTGGACTTCCAAAAATTTGCCTTCACTAATTTGCATATCAATCAATAGTTCATGCTTATATAAACCTGCAAGATTGTAATATGGAGACTTGTGTATTTGCAGAAAGTATTTCTAAATTGCAGAACAAAATTTTGACTCTTCTGCAATATTGTAGAGCACTGAAAAAAAGTATTTCGACCACTGCTGTATACAGAATAGAGCAAGAGCCCATCCAGTCCCCCACACGAAACACTAACAGGACCTAGTAACAGGTCAGAATCAGCTGTCATGTACCCATAATCCCCAGGATTCCCCTCCCATTTGCAAAGATCACATCTCCACCTGTGTGGGACTTACACAACACTGCACAGGCAGTCTTCATTCTGGCCACTGAGTCACTCTCCAACACCGTATGAACCTAAAGACTCACACTCACAAACATGTACGTTTCTATGCTCTATGAATGTGTGTATGTGTCTGTGTGTGTATGTGTGTGTGTGTGTGTGTGTGTGTGTGTGTGTGTGTGTGTGTGTGTGTGTGTGTGTGTGTGTGTGTGTGTGTGTGTTTGTGCATCTGCGTGTGCGTGTGCGTCTTTGCGTGTGTGTGCGCGTGCATGTGCATATGCACAGGTCTATACCAGGCCATTCAGCATTAGACAGCAGCCATCTGTTACTCCCCTTGCCCCTCCCAGTGTGTGTGCATGTGCGCACGTGTCTGTCAGTGTGTGCATGTGCATGTGCGCATGTCTGTGCAAAGCCATTCATGAGGACATTCATGAGGAGACAGCAGCCATCTGTTACTCCTGCCCCTCCCAGTGTGTGTGTGTGTGAGCTCCCAGCTGTGAGGGATCCAGGAACTTCCACAACTGACAAAACCACAGGATCAATTCTGCTGCTGCCAGATGGGACAGGCACAACAAAGCACACCTATAGCTACAAATGTAGGCCTGGGAAAATGTTTCTTGTTTCCTGAACAACCCTAGAAAAAAATGACGAGCCTACTCTCCCCTCTCGAATAAAAGAACCCCCTGGAA